GGTTTTTTTTTTTTTTTTTTTTTTGGTCTTTTTGAGATGGGGTCCCCCTGTAACTACAGCTGGCCTGGAACTTGCTATGTAGACCAGGCTGACCTTGAACTCAAGTTGATCCGCCTGCTTCTGCTTCCTGAGTGCTGGGATTAAAGGCATGCACCACCACGCCCGGCATATCTGCTTTTTATAAGCTTTCTAGTGCTATTTACATCTGGTACTTTTAAGATTTTTAAATATTGTTTACATTACTTTTAAAGTAAATGAAAACAGTAAATTATTCACTAGAGCTATAGATACTGAATAGAAATAAGAACCATGTTAACTAATTTATACACCCGTATTGTTTCACTATCAAAGGGAAAAATTTAAGAATTAATATAACCCACTGGTGAGAGTGGCCATTCTTAGGGTTCTTAAATTGTGTGATAATGCTGTATTGAAAGTACTGGTGTTAGAAGATAATCTTTTTCCCCAGTTTTCTTGGAGCCAGAAACATTGGATCTTTTCTTCAATTTGTATCATTCACTTCCACCACTACTGTCTCAGTTAGTAAGTACAAATCATTCATTATTCATAAAGAATAAAATCATTGGGGCCATTTTGCTGTTGTTGCTGTTTTGCACTACTGGGGATTGAACTAAAGCCTCACACATGTGAAGTTAGTGTGGTAACTGAACTGGAACTGTGTACCCTGTGGTGACTGAACTGTGTCCCCTGGTTTTTGTTTTGTTTTGTTTTGTTTTGTTTTGAACAGAGTCTCACTAGGCAGACTGTGCTGCCTTCAAATTTTTCCTCCATCCTCAGATCCTTAGCCTCCTCAGTGCCCAGATTACAGATGTGTGCCACCATGCTTGGCCTACTACCTGTGATTTTTCTTTTTTTACTAGAATGAAAGTAAGGAGTAGCAATATTCATCTAAAATTTTTTTGATGTATTTGATTGGGTTGATGTTTCTCAAGTAGTTCTTTTATTTTCTGGGATTTATATTGTTAACACTACTTGTCAGATTTTGTTTTGTTAACAGTCTTTTCCACTTATGACTGAGCTCAGACCCAGTAACTGTTCTTGTTCCTGCCAAAGCCAGGACAGCCTACCAACCTCTACATATATCTTCCCTAATCAATGCTCACTGAACTCATGTCCAACCTTGGGCATTCACTTGTACCTTTCTTTCTTTTAATCTCCTCTAAGTCTTTCTCAACCCTGCCTGGCTGCGTGCCTTCGGTTTGACAGTCTCCAACTTGATTTTTTTGTACGTTCTTCTTTTTCAGTTACTTTTTAAAAAATCTAATTCTATTACATCCTCAAAATTCTTTGAGATTGTATTGTTAGGTAGAACTTTGTGACTATGAGCACCAACTTTGTGAAGTCTAAAAAGATCTGGCAATGTTGAAAAAAATGTAAGTTTAATATCTAAGCTTCTGGAACTTGGAATTCCACTTCTAAAAAAAGTGTTCCAGATTTTAAATGCTTTTAGGTGTATTTATTTAAACATCATTTAAAAGGAAGAACATATTTGCAATCATTCAGCATTGAGTTATATCTCTAGCCCAATGTGTCTGCTTTTGAATCCATTCTATAGTTTAAGATAGAGGTTTTAACTAAGTTACAGAGTACTTATCTCTCCCAGTTGTGCCTCAGCCTTTTGTTTTTCAACCAGAACAGTTGATTTTAGTTGTTTAAAAAAGCATGAAGTCATATAATTGTGTTTTGGTATATTAAAAAAAGTAATAGTCATCAAAAATATAGAAGAGGGGCTGGAGAGATGGCGCAGCAGTTAAGAGCACTAGCTGTTCTTGCAGAGGACCTGGGTTCAATTCCCAGCTCTCACATGGCGGCGAACATCTTTAACTCCAGTTTCAGGGACTCTGTCACCTTCTTTTGGCTTCCATGGGTATTGCATACATGGGTTCACTCACATACATGCAGACAAAACACTCATACACATAAATATAAATAAGTAAATAAAAAATTCTGGACTGGAGAGATAGCTCAGTTAAGATGCTCAGTTAAGAGCACTGGCTGCTCTTGCAGAGGACCTGGGTTCAATTCCCAGCACCCACATGGTTGCTGACAACTGCCCATAACTCGAGTTCCAAGGGATCCATCACCTTTATCTAACCTCCAAGGTCATTGCATCACATAGGTGCATCTACCTACATGCAGACAATATACTCATATACATATAATAAAAATAATAAAATATTTAAAAATTTTTAAACATAAAAAATACAGAAGAAAACTTTTGAGATAGCAATCATTTATTGAATATGCTTTATTAATATAGTGTTTCTCTTGCTTAATCTCACTGTAGCCCTGAAAGGTCAACAACTCTGTCCTCACTAGGTAGAACTTGAAAACCAGAAAACAGTTCTAAGAGGCTAATTGGCTTTCCCTGGGGCAGCACAGTAGATATTGGCATGGAAATTAAAGCTCATGGTTTTTTAGCCCTCAAACTATGCACTGACATTCTGCTTTTAATATACTTGTGGTTCCCAATCTGTGCATTAGAGTTGCCCAAGGAGGATTGTTTTTGTTTTTTAACAATAGGGCAGTGGGAAACTGGAGTGTATTCGAAACAGAAATAGTCCCATATTTGTTCTTATTCATACCCTTCTCAGGAGAGCCAGACATGTGCATGAAATCTCCTAATTGAAATATTTTAGTATTGGCAGCGAATTGTAATTTTTTTAAGTGGGCAAGTAAATATGTGAACCAAAATAAAACATACATAAGCCAATTTGGCCTTAAAGTTGTCCATGTGGGGCCTCTCAGTATGAAGACAGACTTCAGTAGGTACTATTAGAATTAAGAATGTAAGTAATGAAATGGTCTGGAAGCTAGGATGATAACTAGGTCATAGGTATTTTTTAGAAACTTTGAGACAGTAATTAACTCTTCAGCAGCATTTCCTAAACTCTCCCTTAAGATACTAATGGAGGGTCATGGTATTTCATGACCAAATAGATGTGTTATGTGCCTGATTAAAAGATTTTTATTTTTTGCCGGGCGTGGCGGCACATGCCTTTAATCCCAGCACTTGGGAGGCAGAGGCAGGCAGATCTTTGTGAGTTCCAGGCCAGCCTGGTCTACATAGTGAGTTCTAGGCCAGCTGGGACTACAGGGAAACCCTGTTTCAAAAAAACCAAAAAAAAAAAAAAAAGATTTTTTTTTTCCTTTCCAGGATTTGTAACACATAATTTACAATATTTCTAAACTTATTTTCCCACAAATCAAATTTTCTTTCCAGTAGAGCACCTGGTTCTTTGGTTCACAGAGTGGGTGTCTTAAGCAGTTGGAAGCTTTCTTACTGTGTCCATGTCTAGCTCCTGCTTTGGAAAATTTGGTATAGTAAACACACACACACACACACGAGGAATGAGATGATATGGAATATATATCTCATGACATCAAGAGGAAGACTAAAGGATGCAGTGAAAGGGAGAAAGAGAGAATGGGGTGCAAATAACACACTACAACGAACCCCCCTTTCTTGGCCTTTTTTTTTCTTAAAACAATTTTTTATGTGTTTGTGGGGGGTATGTATGTGGGGGTTGGAGGGATATGCATATGTGCACCTATGGGAGAACATGTGGAGGCCAGAGGAGAAAATTGGATGTCTTCTTTTATTCCTCTTTCATCTTACTGCCTTGAGTCAGGATCTATCACTAAAACTGAAGCTTATTCTTTGGCTAGGCTGGCTGGCCAGTGAGCTCTAGGAATCTACCTGCTTATCCCCACCACTGAGGTTGCAGGCATGTGCAACTATATCCAACTTTTGATGTGGATGCTGGCGATTCAAGTTCAGGTCCTCATGCAAGTGCTATTACCAGCCCACGAGACCCCTTTAGATGTATGCTACCAAAATAATTAAAATAAAAATGCCAAGGTTACAGAAGTCAAAGAAAAACTAAGAAACCATTCCAGAAAAAGGAAACTGGGAGGAAATTTTAAAAAGTTTGAGAGAAATATGCATAAATATTAATTTTACTAGTGGGGCAGAAGCTTCTAAGTGGTGATAGTGGACATAGCTACTTTTAAAATTAAAACGAAAAAAAATTTCTATTGTTTTTTAGGCACTTTCGTGCTTGGTTCAGTTTGCTTCTGTAAGAAGATCCTTATTTAGCAGTCCTGAACGTGCCAAGTACCTTGGTAATTTAATTAAAGGAGTAAAAAGAATACTTGAAAACCCTCAGGTATTTATGAAATAATTTAATTCTTAGCATATAGAAATATTTCTGCTCAAAGGCACATAATAAACTTGTTAATTTATTATGATTCTGGAGGAAAATATTTAGTATCCTATTCATTTTCCTTAGATCTCATTTATAGGGTTTTTTTTTTGTTTTGTTTTGTTTTTTTTTCATTTTTTTTTTGAGGCTGGATTCTCTGTAGCCATGTGGCCTGGAACTCACTATGTAGACCAGGCTGGCCTTGAACTCAGAGATCTGCCTGCCTCTGCCTTGGCATGCTGGGAGCAAAGGTGTGTGCCACCACAACTGGCAGTTTTTTGGGTTTTTTAAAATTCATTTCCATGGCAGACTTACACATTCCTTCTCTTCATGGTTTTTCTTCTAGGTGACTATGAATAGGGGTCATGTATTTTATTATGCTTCTGCCTTTTACTGTTGTTCTTTATCGCTTTTGTACTTGATAACTGACAAAGTAATCATTTTAGGATCACATCTAGTTTTTGAACTAGGACACAATGTAAATGTAAATGTTACTGTTGAAGTAAGTTACTTTAGATTGTGAAATAATGTCTTTTGCCCTCTTGTGGCCAAACAGATGTAGAAATATACTCTGCAATAACTTCAGAACTTTAGTGGCAACATTCACTTCAGACTTGCAAAGACATTGTTCATGAGTGATATGGGGTAACTACTGTGTTCCACTTTTTATTTTGTGTTTCTGACTTAAAACATTTGTAATTAGACTACAGAGTTGTTTTTTTGTTTTGTTTTGCTTTTGTCTTTTTGAGATAGGGTCTCCCCATAGCCCCAGCTGGCCTAGAACTCACTATGTAGACCAGGCTGGCCTTGAACTCACAGAGATCTACCTATTCTTCCCGAGTGCTGGGCTCAAAGACATGCACCACCACGCCTGACGTAGACTACAGATTTTAACAGGATAAATGACAACCTAAAGTGTTTGATTAAGCTTCTTGGTCTCTAGTAATTTGGAGATTAGATAATGTCAGTATGATCATTCTACAAAAACACAGATTCTTTCAGGTCATTGGGAAGAATATCTTTATTCATCTTCATTATTTTAGAATCGCTTTTATTTACTCTGACAATTTCATTTATGGATATATATATCCTTCCTCTGTACCCTCAATACTTCCCAAGAGTAATATCTTAGAAATTATGCATTGTTTTACCTTTTAAGTGTTAATAAGGGTATGATATTTACTTGTTTTGTTGATAAGTAGAATTTTACCTGTGTGCTTGTAAAATTTTAAATTATTTAACTTCATTAGCCGTATTATGGGTAGTACTATGCCATTGTCAAATATTTCTTTTAAATGATTTTCTCACCTTCTTATGGTGATATTTCACCTTGTTAAAAATTTTAGAATCACAAATATGTATTAAAAAACCTGTGATTATAAAATGTCTTTTTAGAATTTATTCTTTATAATAGATGCTCTTTTTCTTTCCTGGAGCCAATATGAGTAAAATTCTTTAGATTCTTTAAGTATTAATATTAAACTAATATATTTTTTAATTTGGTTGCATACCTGTTATTTCGCAAAGTATGTAAACTATAAAGATGGTAACCCAGGTGCCCTGTATTCAAGTAGCTCACAGTCGAATGGGAGGGCTTTTCTTGGTCTTTCCTTTGTTAAGTTTTTTTCTCCCAAAAGTCACCCATTTGTTTTGAAGGTTTTTTTTTTTTGTTTTTTTTTTTTTTTTTTTTTTTAAAAAGGGTCTCCCTTTTTGTCTTAGAATTTATTTCAAAATACTAATTCAGAGGAAATA